TTAATAGTAAATAGCATGAACGCTTTCGACCCTTGTATTAGGTCCTTTTCAAATGCATTTAAATTTCTTAGATAGAAAACGTCGCTCAATGTTGATCAAGGATATCAGCACTAGCCATCCCGACCAACACTTTACAAAGGTGAAATCGCGACTGAGTCAGTTTTCTATCTAAGAAATTTAAATGCATTTGAAAAGGACCTAATACAAGGGTCGAAAGCGTTCATGCTATTTACTATTAATTGTTAATAAACGGATTTTAATATATACACTCCAACAACAGTGTTACTGCTTCAATAGCCAAAATTCATTATTATTTAAAATGTAATTACGTTATTCGCAAAGACATGATTATTCTTTAGTTTTATTTTATTTTATTTTATTTTTTTATAAATTTGTGGCGCTCGTAAACATACTCGCGAGCTTTTCTTCGCGCTCGTAAACACTCACGAACCAACCTGACATCAACGACTGATATTTGTTGAGAAATATATATTAAAAAAAAAAAAAAGAAAGAAAAAAAAACTGCAATTCAAGTGAAAAGCGGCGATAGATGCGTGGGAAGAGGAAAGATGAAGAAGACGTGGTGAGAAATTTAATATTCGCGATATTATGCATCGTGGTTTTCGATTGGCGGAGTCTCGCGCGCGTGAAGAGTGAAAGAGAGAGAGAGAGACTGAGAGAGAGAGAGGAAGAGATTCGTGGACGTTTATCGATCCGCGAATTCGTTCTTACTTCTCCCCAACGTTCAGCAGAACAACCGAGCTTTTGTGGCAAGTTCGAAAGCTCTGACGGCTGCGCGGATTGGTTATTAAAGATGAAAGGCGATGCACCTGCTGCTGCTCGTTGCACAGCTTAAGCTGTCCGTTGCAGTCGCGTGATAGTTGCGGCTGATGGTGAAATAAATAATGGTCAAAATAATACAAACATATATCGTTCGCTCAAAAATTTTGATTAAAAAAATATACATTCAAATAATAAAAAGGCGTAAGTAAGTTGTTTTATTTAAACAAAAAACACGCGCGCAACAAAAACGTACGTAAGAGAGAACGTTGAAACGGACTTACAAAAAGAGTCACAAAAATTTATATTTTTGATTCCGCGCATGCGCGCACAATTGACGATTTTAAATCTGATAATCTGACGAATTCAAATGTAACGAGAGAGATTGCGGAGTTGAAAAATGTTATCTCAAACTGCTTTCCGTGTGTAATCGGAAATGCGTGAAAAAGCATTCCGAGACTTGAGCATTGGGAGAATCAGCCAATCTGCGACATTTGTTTTAGAATGCCGGTCTATGATTGGTTGTTTTTTTTTTTTTTTTTTTTATGTGCTTTTCTGGCTTATGTCTTCAATTGATTTCTCATCGTTTCTGCCGCGCACACCTAAGGTGTCAGGGCCGATCGCGCGTGACGCCGCCCTCCCTTGCTAAGATTTTCTCGAAGATTTCTTCGACAACGCTGGAAGCGGGTCAGTCGGGCGCATTCGACTGGATCGCGACGGTCGAACGACGACGTCCGAAGCATTGCGATTCAATATCGTTATCTCCGTAGCTTTCACAGAGCGAAGGAACACATATCCGTATTGTACGTGGGTTCACGCGGGCTCAGTCTCCCTTCCGACGTAGATATATAGAACACACGATCTCTCTCTCTCTCTCTTTCTCTCTCGCAAACCTCCTCGGGCTTCGTCGCTCCCTTGCTTTCTCTCTGCGAGAGATTCTCTTCCTCACCCGCGGCGATGCAACACACATCGATTCATTTATTGCGATATTATTCGAGCAAAATTTTAAATAATTCAAATTTTCGAATCGGCTAGAGATTGCGCGCGAGACCCGAAATTTAGATTTAATTTCAATAAAGATATATGATCGCACTGTATCAAAATATCACGAGTAGCAATTTCGTCGTATTTTCTTTTCCCTCTAGAGTAAAACAAATAATTCCTCGACGTATTGCGAAAAATCACGTTTTTTTTTTTTCAAAAATAGTAATCACTCGCATACGTTTATCGTAATTCCGTATAATTTTAGTTGCGTTGTTATTTTCGTGAGCTTCCGAAGTTCAACCAATATTGTTATACATTCATATAATACGCGTTCGCTCTTCTGATACGATTGTCGTAGTCGCAAAAGAACTCTGAATTTTACCACTTTCCGGTAAACGCTCCGGTTCAAACGTCGCGAGGCCAGAGTTTAAAGATCTGTTTGCTTTATATAAGAACGCAAGCTCTCTTTCGCGAAAGAGAGAGAGAGAGAGAGAGAGAGAGAGAGAGAGAGAGAGAGAGAGAAACGCGAAACTCTTCTCCTCCGCATCTCACGTCTCGCTATAAAATTCTCCCGGTGCGTGAGATGAATTCCGCGGTGTACGTGTTTAGCGGTCGCGTCAAAGCCAGTGCATTCCGACAGTACAGGCAAACTCAAAACACAACCGCGCGACATCACGGAGATTTCCGGTTTCTTGAACCACTAGTATATTCCACGGGTTTATATATATATTTTCCAGTCCTTTGCGCTATTACACTCTCTTAGGTTACAAGAGATCCAATTGTGCGCTTCCGTACGTACGTTTGCGAAGTACTTTTTTGTACGTTTTTCAATTCAATTTCGCTGTTATATTAGGTCTACCGGAAAGTTCTGTCCGTTTTTTGGAATAAAACAAAATACCAATTTTTCTTACCGTCAATAAACTTTATTTTAAATAATATAATTGCCAGAAATTATGAATAATTTCTTGCCAGCGTGAGAGAAATTTGTATATCCCATTTTTGAAAAATTTTAAGAAAAATTTGTATTTTGTTTGATTCCAAAAACGGACAGAACTTTCCGGTAGACCTAATATTTAAAAAATTCTTGATTGTGAAAGGAGGCGTTTCTGAACAAATTGCAGGAAGTAATGCACAAAACTGGTTTTGAAGTAACAACCAAGATTACAACTGTGTAATATTTAGCAATGGTTGAATTCAAGAACACTGAGGATGACTATGAATAAATAGTTGAAACGTTTGTTCTTAATAGAAGATATATATTCATTGTGGATAACTTCCTGCAATTTGTTCAGAAACGCCTCCTTTTACAATCAAGAATTTTTTAATATAACTGAACCTGAGGAGGATCACCTCTGTTACTTTATTAGTAATATTAGGTCTACCGGAAAGTTCTGTCCGTTTTTGGAATAAAACAAAATACAAATTTTTCTTAAAATTTTTCAAAAATGGGATATACAAATTGCCCTCACGCTGGCAAGAAATTATTAATTAATTTCTGACAATTATATTATTTAATAAAGTTTATTGACGGTAAGAAAAATTTGTATTTTGTTTTATTCCAAAAACGGACAGAACTTTCCGGTAGACCTAATATATTAAAAATAAAAGTCATGCGGGAAGAAATGAAAAGGAAAACAAAAAATCGTACACAATAATATATATAATTAATATATAATTGCTCTCTTTTTTTCCAAAGGTGCGCAATATAATTTGTATTTCTCACGACGCTTATACAAAATTATTCATACATGTGTGTGTATGTATGTATACATATGCATTATAAATGTTCCGAAATCTCACTCTTTTGGTGTGAGTTTCAAACTTTTTACGTATATACAGTTTTTTTCTTCGTATTCTTGCGACAAGAACTGAATATTAAGATATTATTCTCTTGATTAAAATCGATTAAATATTTGTATGTGTATTTGTATATCCTAATTTAGTCTTCTTCTCCTGACTTCGATTTCTGTCGAATCGAGAGTTCGAGAATTTATGGATATATATATCTACAAAGCGCGAAGTCTTCTAACGATAACATCCAAATACCATATGACACACTATGTTTCTATCGTATATATATGTATATATATATATATACTCGTGAACTAGTACGAATCTTATGATACAGATATATTATCATATTGCGCGGCAATAATTCTCTCTAATTGGCACTAAGAATTCAGAGTAAACAAGCAAATACTGTTGGTAAGAATTATCCATAGTTTCATGTTCTCTATTATGTTCTATATCATGTGTGTATATATAATAGAACATATATACATATGTGATATATAAAATACGCATAGATGCGCGTGTGTATAATCCCGCTTGAGAGAAACGTTTGAATATTCATTATATTTGCAAAAATATATATGTACTTTTATAAATAAGTTTATAATTATGTTTGTGAACATTTGGTGAAAGTAACGCAATGTTTTTTTTTTTTTTTTTTTAAGTGATTCTTAAAGAACAATTATTGTTTTTTACAAAACGCAAAGTCAATTATTTGAGTGACGAATGACTCGATATTGTATCTATCAACAAGCTGTGTTTTTTACTCGATTGCTGACCTGGTTTGTTTTTTTTTTTGCTGCTTTTTCACTCCAATTTATTGTTGTTCGCGTTTTTTTTTCGACTCGCATTTTTCTTATCTCAAGCAAGTGGAGGACTTCTTTGCGAGGACCTTATCTACATGGAAGACGAAACGTAAGCTTAAGGTAAGTCAGTATGCCGTGTCTGAAATGAGCGATAAGCACGGCCGCGGTGACTTCCGCGTTAAGCTCGTTTAACGGGAGGTGTAATTAATTAGAGGACGAAGTTCATTGTCCTTTAGAGCTGAGACTTCACCGCGAGTGATGCCGCCGGCGCTCTCTTAATACTAATCACCCTACCCTAACTTTTGTCGGCGCTACTCCCGAGACGGGTCTTATGGCAATTAATTGGCAGACGATAGACGACACACAGAGGTGATCGAGACCCCTCGCGGAAAGAGTATAACGTTTATCGTTAAATTCGAAATACTTCACGCGCGCGCGCGTGACCGAAAAACCGAAAATTATTACTTAACTATTTTTCATGTACTTTTTTTCATTTCACTTTCGATTTATCGTCTTCCGACGCTCGGTTTTCTTAAGTTTTATGAAAGACTCTTCGAATTAAATTTTATACGTTAGTTTTAAATATAAACTTTTTAAAACAAAATAAAAAAAAAACAAAATTATAGTTTTTTTTTCTTACATAATGGAATAATCGAATAAACTAGCGCGATATCGTTAAACATTAATGTTACAAGGTTTCAATTCCAAAAATTGATACGGCACATGTAACGTAGTATTATTGTGTTCTACGAGTAGATGACCTCGTCTGGGAGACGCACCCACGACCAAAACCGTCTCTCCTTTTAACAAGACCATCTCGCCTTCGCCCTCTTCTGAAAAAGATAAATATTAAATGAAATTCAGAAAGAGAGAGACAATTTCGCAATATGTAACAACGCAGAGATAATATAATATATTTCAAATATTCGACACAACTATGTTCGAAAATATGTAATTTGTTTTTTTGACATTTTCGAAGAAATAAATGTTTTGAATAATTAATTAATATTTTTATCAATGTTTTTTTTTTATCAATGTGTATATAAAAAGATAAGTTAGAAATATTACTATTATAATTTCGACTTGTATCCCAAAAAAAGGATATATGATTTTAGTACTTGAATAAAAAAGTAATATATACTTATTAAAATGTTATTTTTTCTCTAACTTTTTTTCTACCTTATATACACGCTTTTCTCTCTCTCTCTTTCTCTCGTCTTTGCTTCATATTAATGCTATTAGTATGTTTTTGCAAGAACAATTATTTTAAATAACATTTCCTACCTGGGAAAGGCATTTTCATAATCCTGGTTTGCGGGTAACCAAGCTTTGTGTTTCCGGTCACGGTGTAGGATCTGCTAGGTGGGACAGGCGGTGGCCGCTCCTATGTATGACAAAAGAAAGATTATATTAGAGCAGAAAATTTGTTCCGTGTGTGAAAAAGTTAGTTTTTATTTAAAATACTAAAACATACTAAATTATATAATGTACATGTCATCAATATTTTTTAAAGCGGTTTGTGGGTTTAGAGAGAAGCGTCAAAGAGAGAGAGATAGAGAGAGAGAGAAAGATTTAAAGGAAAGGAAAAATGAAATTCCGTATATTCTGTTTTGTTACTTTAACACTTCGAAATCGTCTCTTTTCTTTAGAAGAAAAATAGTGTCTCTCACGCGAGCTCACCAAATCTAATCCGAAAAGTGTACAAGTTTGCTGGATCATCTTCTGGTCGGCGCATTTCTCCGAAGGATCGGGCGGGGGTGTGCCAGCGATCGGTTGTGGTCTTGGACGAGTGCCAGTACCAGTTCCCGCGCCAGCGGTGACATTCCTCTGGACGGTTCCAGTATTGGTTCCGGTAGGTGGTTGTTGAGGTTTCTTCTGTCCTATGCCGGACGTTACTCCTAGGGTTGTCCTTCTCACAGGCCATCTCTTCCGTACCCGCCATCCCCTCCACGTAGCCTGGAAGCAAAAAACAATTTATTGATTGCAAAAATTATTTGTCATCATTTTCAATTTTTCAGGATGATAAAAAAATTTCCAGCAAGTCTTTTTGTTTATACAAAAAATAGTTAATACATCGCAAAACACTTTATA